GACCAAGTGGTCCAAACAATGTTTGGGATATGGAAGTATATTACAAACTTAGAATCTCATTATAATGGTAGGATTCTGATTACATGGAGGCAGGATTATTACAAGGTGATACCTGTGCAAATAACTGCCCAAAAGGTAACATGTGAGGTGCAATTCATTTGAGAAAAGCTTATGATATGGTGGATTAGACGTTCTTGGAGGAAGTAATGAAAGGCTTTGGTTCCCCGAGAGGTTCCTACAACTGATCATGACTTTTGTGACATCAACAAAGTTTTCTATTAAGATCAATGGTGAAGGCCATGGATATTTTGAAGGAAGAAAGGTACTTAGGCAAGTCTCCTCTATTTTTTATTTTAGTGATGGAATACTTATCTAGAACTTTGAAGTTCATGAGTGGTTTACCAGACTTCCAGTTTCATCCTATGTGTAAACAACTTAAACTAACTCATTTGATCTTTGCAGATGATCTTATGATCTTCTGTAAAGGTAACATTGCCTCAGTAACAAGAGTCGTAGAAGCACCGTCACACTTCAGCAAAACATCAAGCCTGATTGCAAACTTAGAGAAGTCAAATATTTTTATAGTAGGGGTTGATGAAGTGACTAAGGAGTAGCAGCTAAATAGGACAGGATTCACACAAGGTACATTTTCTGTAAGATACCTTGGGGTGCCTCTGTCATCCAAGAAATGGAGCAAATTGGAAAGCTATCAATTGGTGGATAAAATAACAAGTAGGATGAAAACCACATGTGCCAAGCAACTGTCCTATGCAGGAAGACTTCAAATAATCAATTCAGTGTTATTCTCCATCTATNGGAGAGTTCAGAGGAAAAGGAAAAAGTTTCCCTTATGTCTTGGGAAAAAAATTGCTTTTCAAAGAAATATGGAGGATTAAATGTGAAAGGAAGCAGACTTTGGAATGTAGCATCTGTTGGAAAATTGCTATAGCAACTGATTGATAAACAAGACTCCTTGTGGGTGAAGTGGGTGCATAGAATCTATATGAAGACTAATGCTAATATTTGGAGCCATAAGCCACCTTTGTATAGTAGATGTTACTGGAGGAAACTCAACTCCTTAAAGGATGAAATGAAGGCATGATATAAGTGCGGCCACTATTCTCTAACTTCTGGAGGAGTATACTCAATAACTAGAAGTTATACAGCTCTACTGGAAGATATGCCCAGATTGAACATAGCAGACTTATATGTAGTGTAATTGCACAACCAAAGTACAGGTTCTTTTGTGGTTAGGAGTACAGGGAAGACTATTAACAAAGGATATGCTTCGAAAACTGCATATCCAGGTTAAAGATGGAAGTTATTATTTATGTGATGCAGGAGCAGAAGAAGACATCAATCATTGGTTTGTTACATGTAGCTAGATCACAACACTTAGAGGAGCAGTTACAGTTTGGGCTGGTGTTTAAATACATGAGGGAGACATCAGGAAGACTTTGGAGAGAATAAAGATGAAGAATTGGAAGCATACCAAGAAAAAAATAGTAGCAACAATATTTGGATCAATGTTCTACCATATATGGAGGGCTAGAAACTGGAGAATGTTCAAAGGTGTCAATATAAATATAGAGGATATAGTAAGACAGATTAAGCAAGATGTTATAGAAAGAATAGATACAAAAGATAGATCAAAAAAGGCCCATACATGTAGAGAATTTCTGCAAAGGATCACTATATAATTGTAAGTAGTATTTCCTAGAGGCTTAGTTTCCACTACACCCTTCCTAGAAGGTGGTTGTGGTATTGACTGCTCTTTAGGTGTAATGATTTTGTTATAAATGATAATATTCACATTTGTTACCAAAAATAAATCCGGAAAATATTTCAGCATAATATACTGGAGTTCCAGTATAATATACCGGTCCAACATAATATGCTGGAAGTTAATACACAAGTGCTCCAATCTCCAGTATATTATGCTAGAACTTTTCGCGTATTGGAATTCCAGCATAATATGCTGGATGTTTATACACAGGTGCACCAATCTCTAGTATATTATGTTAGACCGGTCCGTGTTGCAGTAAAATAGTGGCTATTTTTTAATGACTTTGTAAACGGTGGCTATTTTTGAATTACCAGTCCGAAACCTGACTAGCCCGTGCTATTTTTACCAAAATCAGCTACATGTGCAGTACTCTATATGGACTCCAGTTGGTACGAATTTAAATTAATCGGGCGAGTGAGTTCTTAATACTAAGCTAGCGTTTCGCCATAGATTCCCAATTTTATTTTTAAAAATCTGATTTGGATGAAGTTTGGTTTGAAGATGGAAATCTGTTTGGACATAATTTTTTAAAACATATTTCACTTTTTAAAAAAAATATATATGAAATGTGACTACCCATAAGTTTTAAAAACTATCAAAATACCCAACAACTCTGAAGAAAATTCATACAAAACAAGCGAAACAAATCTGAAAAAAATTTATACAAACATTAGCAGATTTTAGCAAATTACCTTCAAATTTTGTCTTTGCGGTGGATTGCCACAGATTGGCACAACAACTTTGCCGAATGTTTTCTTCTGTTTATAGATAAGGGCAAAGCCGCATGAGTTTAATGAGGAAAAAATGGGTAGATATGAATTAGTTTGGTCATAATAACAGAAAGTGAATTTTTTTATAAAATACAAAAGTTTGGGGCAATTTTTAATTTTATTTTTTAAAACCAAACGGTAATATTTTGGGCCGAAAACATCTCTTGAGCTGGTTTTGAGATTTGTGATTTGAATTTTTTTTCAAAATAAGGATAAAATCTATAAACAAACATGTATTTGTCAAAAAAAAATTAAATTTTTTTTGTCCAAATCTATGACCAAACGAGTGCTAAATGGTTATGGCAAAAAAGAAAAAACCAATCCAAGAGCCAAGCGAAAAGGGCAAAGGCACTCGAATATCATTTTAAGTTCACCACATATCTATTTTATTTTTAAAGCACATTCGAATAGACACTTTCTTAACTGAAAAAATAAAAGGCATTGGCAGAATACATAGGCGGCCCCCTAAACTTGGCAATATTTATCACATGAACACTTAAACTAACAATAGTACCTATTGAACACTTGAGTCAATCCAAATTGTGTCAATTAGACACAAATTGCTGACATGGCATAATGTATGTAACACCTCACTGTTGAGGCGCGTGAGAGACATTATCTTCTGTTTTTCCAATTATTTCTCCTATCTCCTTCTTCCTCCTTTCTATTTCCACCATAGTCGCTGCTTACCACTGTGCAACCACCTCTACCTTCCAAATTCATTTTCAGTGACCAAAAACTTTACAGACAACACTAAAAAAAAATTAATTAAAAATCACTTAAACATTCAATAGAAAGAGGGCACCACAAAATTACATTCATCTTCCTCTATTATTCTCCGTCCCAACTCCTGCCATACTCTACCGCATCGCCACAACGGCACCACCGCGAACCCCAAGCCCAAATCTGTCCGCTCTTTTACTTCCATCACTTCTAAGTCTCACCTTTTACCTGCACTGCCATGGATTTTGCTCACAAAAATCATCACACAGTCTCAAATAACCCGCCACCACATAAAAAAAGATCCATCAGTTCAACCCAAAACATCGGTATTATTAGATTTAAAAAAATAGCACGAAGAAGGAGATGGGTTCTCTCTGAAAATTTGAGCTTTGATTTTTCTTTTTCCTTTTTCTCTTTTTTATGCGTGAATTTGTATTACTGGTCTACTCAGGTTTCTAATCAATGTTGTCAATGGAAAATGCACAGAAAAGTATAGAGGTTACTGGAAAATGGGGGAAGGATGAGTTTAAGAGAGAAGAAGGGGTCTGATTTCCCGTCAACATTTTTCTTTGCTTTTCTTATTTTTTCGATTTTGCCATATTTTTTCCTTTTTTACGTGTTCTCTTCTCATTGGTCTGATGTGCCACGTCACGAGCAAGTGATTTACACGCATTTTGTTTGTTTGGAGCTGCAAAATTTGTGTCTAATTGACACAATTTGCATTCACTTAAGTGTTCAATATGTACTATTATTAGTTTTAAGTGTTCAAGTGAAAAATATTGCCAAGTTTGGGGGCTGCCTATGTATTCTGCCAAAATAAAATAAGCAAAAGCACAAGTAAAAGAGCCAAGTCATGTAATATTATTTATTTATTTTTACGGAAAACAGCCAAATATATTATTGTACTATCGGAAATAGTTTTAAAATATGTGAAGGAAAACTGTAACTTCACCAACCTCAATAACAATCCTACCCTACTGATCAGAATTGATAGTTTATAATCACAAAGAAGATCCACTAAAGAAAAGCAGAAAACAGTTACTACTATTATAAGGAAGAAAAAATGAGCGAGTAAAAAGAATGGTTTCCATTGACGGAGGTTAGATGGCTGAGAAAATAAGAAGAAAGGGAAAACAAATGAAGTAATGGCAATGGGTCGGGTGAGGGATGGATTTTAATTGGATCCGGATATTAAAATTGGGGATGAGTTTATATTCTTGTGATGTCATATGTCAGTTTAAATTAGATGTATATTTGGACAAAAATATAAAGGTAATATCTCAATTGAATTGATATTTAAACGGAAGGTATTTTTAAATTATTTCTAATAATATAAGGATAAAAAAGGACAGTGCGATGCATTAAGTTATTAAGTTTTCGTTATGTGTGACGTCCGAAAAAATCGGATCATAAGAATCTATTGTACACCGCTTGCTGTAAGAGTATATTTGATTATTTTCCCTATTTTTTATCGTTCTTTCGATATAACATAAAGCCAATTCCACTAGAGAAATTGGGTTGCAGATAGACTATAACACTTTTGTAGTTTACTTCCCATGTGGATGGACACATTTCCAAGCACCAATTTTCCCCTAATATAATAAAATTGATTAAGAAAACTATATATTTATCTATTTTTATATCAGGGAAGATTCCAATAGAAATCTTAAATTACAAATTCCCAAAAAAAAGAATCAGTAGTGGCTCTAATTTTTTATTGCACACACTACACACCAACACCAGAAAAGAATTACTGGTAAAGACCGAGAAGTCCTCAAAAGTCCTTTTTTTTAAGCATAGAAAGGCCTCTTCTTTCTCTCTTTTTATCTTCAGCTAACCCATCCAAGAATCTTATTTGGAAACTGCCATTTCTGCACAAAATCCTCTTTGCCGAGTTGAAAAGAGCTTACAGGTATGAAATGTCTAGTTACAGAACAAATATTTACTGGATATACTTATTTGTTTCTTATTTAGAAGACATTTCTGAGACTTGTTAAAACTTATATGAAATGTTATTTATGTCACAGAATAGATATCTCTTGAATTAAGTTTTAGTCATATTAACACGTTTTACCTTATCTATGTTGTCCAGAAGTCTTTATTTGTAAGCGGAGTGACATCGATAGCCGAGGATTCATATAGCCGACCCCAAATTGTTTAGAACTGAGGCATTATTGATGTTTGTATTTGTTTCTTGGGAGGTTTGAGTACTGTGTTACAAGTTCAAAGGCTCAGAGTACTCACCTTCTATGAGTGTTGTGAACCTGTTTTTTTCAATATGCTTTTGGATCTTAATGCCATCCCACTTGGCTTCCTTTCACTACAAAATTGCTTGAAACTTTGAAGCATCTTTTGTGTTGAGTTGAAATGACTTCTAGACACTGGTTAATCCAAGAAACACAAGAGATCTCGTAGTCAGTTGGAGGAGAAATGAGGAAAACTGAACTTGTCAAATCTTGACTAGCTTCCTACTAATCATGTTTAGTTCCCTTTAGATTTTAATTTTTACCCCTGAAAACTAACCCCTCGACGAGGGTCTACTAAAACAGTATTCACTATAGGGGTAAGATCTGCGTACTCACTACCCTTCCCAGATCTCACTTGTGGGATTATACTAAGTTTGCTATTGTTACCCCTGAAAACTAACCATATCCAAGAACAAGAAGCCAATCATTTGAATGAGGTTACTGGCATGTTGGTTTTTGGGGCCTGTTATGTCATGAGTTTAAATTCTACGCACCGACAGTACAGAAAATTTAAACAATCTTGTCAATTAAAAGATAATTACTTGTAAAATGGTAACTAACATGTTATCAAATGTTTAAACTCACTGATAGTTTCAAAAAAATTATACTGTCAGCGTATATAACATCATTTGGCTTGAGGACTAACGCTTTCCGATCACTGCAGGCACAAAAAATGGAACCAGAAGAAAACATAAAGCCACATGCCATAATGATACCAGCGCCTCTTCAAGGTCACATTGTACCATTCACTCATCTTGCAATAAATCTTGCATCCAAAGGTCTCACCATAACTTTTGTCAATACACAATCAACTCATCAAAGGTTGATGAAAGCTCAATCACTATCTGGCAGCTTTCTGGATTATGACATTTTCTCTGAGGCACGAAAATTTGGCCTTGATATTCGATACACAACGATATGTGATGGTTTCCCACTGAACTTCGATCGAGCAGGGAACCACAATCAGTTCATGGAAGGGTTATTACATGTTTTCTCAGCACATGTGGATGATCTTGTGGGAAATCTTGTCAATTCGAACCATAATCCTCCAGTTTCTTGCCTAATAGCTGATAGTTTCTATGTTTGGCCATCAGAGATTGCCAAGAAGTACAATCTTGTTAACATATCATTCTGGACTGAACCAGCTCTGGCATTCACAAGTTACTATCATATGGACCTATTAAAAAGAAATGGTCACTTTGGTTCTCAAGGTATGATTTCTTGCCGCTCTTAATAAAGCAAAATATTTCATTAATGTACATCAAAAAGGTGTCAACTATACAAAAGTGGCATAATATAAGCAGTGGCGGAGGCACAAACTTAAACAAGGAGATTCAAAGAAATACTAGATTGTTAAAATTTAGATTTGAATCTATGACCTAAACAAACTTTTGAGCCTCCTTTACCACTACACTAGAATATTTCTATACGTTAAGGGGATTCAACAGTTATATATGACGAAAAAAAGTTCCCTATTTGCGTAGTATAATTTTTAGATGAAGGGGATTCAATCGAACCCCCTTGCCTCCACCTAGCTCTACCCCTAACTACAAATATGTATTAGGGCTCAAAATAATCTCGCCATCTGTCTATATAAAATGGGATCTCCTCTCTGCGCCAAAAATGCAAGTAACCAAAGAGGTAGTTTTTGGTTCTTATTATTGAGTTCTCAATTCCTTTACATATTCTTCTTAGAGTTCAAGTTCTATGCACTGGCAGTGATAAAAAATTTACACTATCAGGTTAAGTTACCTGTCATAACACGTAATTGTTTATAGCAAAATTTGATCTGATAACCCCAAAAACAAAGTACAGTCTGCTATAACAAGTTAAATTACACGGATAGCATAAAATTTTAATTCTTTAACAGATAACCGTGAAGACACGATATGTTACATACCGGGCATTCAGGCTATTGAACCAGGAGATCTTCCTTCATACATTCAAGATCCCGAGCCATGGAGTATAATGCACCACTACATATTCAACTCACTTGAAGATGCAAAGAAAGCAGATATGATCATCTGCAACACAGTACAAGAACTAGAGTCTTCAACAATCTCAGCTTTACAAGAGAAGAAGCCATTTTATGCAGTAGGACCAATTCTCCCAAATGGCTTTACCAAAAGTGTTATACCAACAAACCTATGGGTGGAATCAGACTGCATCCAGTGGCTAAATGCCAAGCCAAAAGGTTCAGTTATGTACATATCATTTGGAAGTCTTGCAAATATTAGTAGACAAGATGTTCTTGAAATAGCTCATGGACTTCTTCTAAGCAGAGTGAGCTTTATTTGGGTAGTTCGTCCCGACATCACATGGTCTAAGGAAACTGATATTTTCCCATCAAGATTTGAGGACGACGTAAAAGACAGAGGATTAGTTGTGCCATGGTGTAGCCAAATTGATGTAATTTCACATCCAGCTATAGGAGGATTCTTGACACATTGTGGGTGGAATTCAGTTTTGGAGAGTATTTGGTGCAAAGTTCCAATGTTGTGTTTTCCTATATTCACTGATCAATTTACTAACAGAAAACTGGTGGTTAGTGAGTGGAAAGTTGGTTTTGATCTTTGCAGTGGCAGAATCCTCAGAAGACAGGAAATTGCACAGAAAATAGACTGTTTCAGTTCTGAAGCCAATAAATTAAGGATCAACTTAGAGAAAACCAGGAGGAAGCTCGAAGATGCATTATCCGAAAATGGAACTTCAGGAAGAAATTACAAACAATTAATCTGTGACCTCAAGTCCAAAATTCTGCAGAAAAGCAAGATTAACAACACAAGCTTACTTTAGTATGGGATGATCATATATAGCATATTTAGGATCTCAAATGTCATTACACACCTATTTTATTACTAGATTTAAGCTTCATTCACTTACGGTTAAAAAGAAATTTAAACATCTTGGTGTAAATCGGCCAGTATCAAACATGTTACCTACCATCTTTGCTAGTCACAAACCATGTTCAGTTTAAACATTGACATGCATTTAGCTTTTCAATGATCTGATTGTGTACATAAAACTCTTTTTTAATCTTTTCTCCTATCTTATTAAAACAATCATAGATGCATTCCTTTGAGGGATATAAGAATGTTAGATATTTGATTCGTGTTTGAGCCCGCGAAATGAAAAAAAAACATGGTCGGAAGTGGCTCCCCCTTTAATGGCCCTTACGAGGTATGAATCTGGATTAATTGGGGCTCCTATTTAGGTATCAGACATCGAGTGGGAAATCAAAAAAGACTATAAGGGCCCATATATACATATATCTATGACATAAACAAAGCTAGAAAGGACTCAGAATCCTCCATGCAAGCAAGTTTCTCTCTTGTTCCTTCCAATTGCTCCTTCAACAACAAAAGTTCTTCAACGTCGATATTTTCTAACCAATTCCGGAGACCGTTTCTCGAGGTCGTTGATCTCGAGCCGCTTATACAAACATCACCAGAACCAGATAATGGATCTATAGAACTAGAAAAGTGCCTGTCAATGGCAGAACTAACATCGCCGCAAGTGTAAGGTTTTCCAGTGGGTGAGAAAACAATAGCAGCAACACGAGCACCAGTCATGGATTCGAGTTGTAAAGTTTTCTTGAAAAGACCTTTGCGTCTCTTGGAGAATGTCACCATTCTTGATGCTTCCTTTATGATTTGCTTTATTTCTATCTTCTTCTTTCCCGTCCCATCTCGTGTTCTCCTTCTTTTTCTTTCTCTAGAAGTTTTATGCACTAATATAATATTGTAAAAAAATATAGGAATCACAACAGTTATAAAGATCGAATAATTTGCTTCAGTACTATCTAAACTGTACTCAACTGCTATTATACCGTCTGTGCATGTAATTTTAGGCCTTCTTCAAAGTATGGGTTATGCTTGAAAGTTGATAGATTTGACTTAAAGGGTTGTTATGTATGTATATTTATAGAGAGAGATGGAAAGTGGAAACAAATGCTATTTATGTAAGGATTCCTAAAGCTGGAAAACGTAGGTAGTTTCCTATTAGGAATGTTCCTCTTTTCCATATCCGTTTCCTATTGGTTAAACTTTCTTTTTAAGGATTAATATGGAAAAGGAAAAGTCAGTTTCGTTTTCATCGAAATAAGATTTCCTACAGGTCAAGGTAATTTGAAAAAAATAGGAGAGCTGCGTAATGATGGGGTGATTTGCATTGAACCTCCAATTAGCAAAACGGTGATCTCTACTCCAGAGTTATAGAGCCCGTTTGGATTAGCTGATTGTAAATAGCTAATAAGCTTCTAGTGCTGAAAAAAAATTTAAAGTGTTGAAACTGATTTTTAAAATAAGCATTTACGTGTTTGGATAGAAGTGCTGAAACTGATAATAAGCAGTTGATGTCTTTGATTAAAAAGTGCTGATAAGCTATTTTTTTGTTTAAATGACTAAAATACCCTTGAATTTTTTTCAAAAGATTATAAATTAAAAAAAATTTTGTAATGAAAATAATTAATAACGAATATGGAATGAAGAGAAAGTGAAGAAATTTATTTTGGGAAAAGTATAAAATACTTATAAGCAGAAAAGCCATAAGTTGGGGGTTACCAACTTATGACTTATGACTGATTTTAGCTTATAAGCACTTTGAGTGTTTACCAAACGCGTAGATAAGTCAAAAGGTGCTTATAAGCCAGTTGGACCAGCTTATAAGCTTAACCAAACACCCTCATAGTAGTCTCAAGACTTGAAATATAACTTCTTTAGGAAAATAAATTATCACGGCTTACACCAAGATGTTGAGATGAGCTTTATTAGTCAACACAATATGGCCTTGTGCTATGAGTGTTTTGAGAATAAGCCCAATTATGATACGAAGCAACCTACTTCCACACTCACATAGGTGAAATCTGTCAAGGGTGCTCCTGTAATTCTAACACCCCACTCATATGAGCTATAGATTTTCGTTAAGAGTTAATAAAACTCAACCTCGCAAATCATTACAGGATAAACGCACTCACACCATAGAGATGGAACAATAATAAATATAATAGTGCATATCAAACCAAGCTATCATATTATACGCTCTTCCCATTGAACCTAGTTATAGGATCTCTAGTCCCCAGGTTAGGTTTGCTCATATATGACTTATGAGTTTATGGGCTTCAAATCCCATCTCCCTCGATGTGCTCCAAACCTATTCTCTTGTTAAGGCCTTAGTCAATGGATCTGCAAGATTATCAGAAGATTTAACATAATCAACATTAATGGTACCACTTATCAAATATGATCTCACAATATTGTATTTTCTTCTTATAGGTCTGAATTTACCGTTATAATAACGATTTTGTACTCTTCCAATAGCAGTGGTGCTATCACAATGAACTAAAATAGGAGAAATTAATTTTTCAAAATAAGGAATTTGAAATAATAAATCTCTCAACCTATTCGCTTCCTCGCTAGCTGAAGCTAAAGCAATTAGTTCAGCCTTCATGGTAGAGTCAAAGGATCGTTGTTAATATTAAAAATATAAAAAACAGGATCAACATATTTTTCTATTCTAGCTCTTTCACTTCTTCTTAACTCAAAAGCATCATTTTCTTCATTTTGCAAAATAGAAGTAGAAGAACTAGGCAGATACAAAAAATATCTTTATATTTTTGAACCCCGCTATATTTATACTCAAATGAAAATTTATTTTCATGAAAATAGTATCACCTAATTCTAAAATTATATTCTCTTCAAGATTTAAAAATCTATAGGTTATACTATTAGAAGTATAATCAAGAAAAGTACAATTGGTAATTTATTTTACCCAATTTGATAACTTTATGACCCTTTAGTCTAACATAGGCTAAACAATCCCCAAACTCTAAGATAACCCAAATTTGGCTTGTGATTTTTTCATAATTCAAATGTTGTCAATTTTATTTTCTTATGAGGCACCCTATCCAACATATAACATGCAGTCAAAATAGCTTTCATCTCATAAATTTAAAGGTGCATTTGACTCAATAAGCATGGCATTAGTTAACTCTAGCAAAGTTCTATTTTTTCTTTCCGCCACACCATTAGATTCAGATGAAAAAGATGGAGTAATTTCATTAATTATTTTCAATGATCTAACAAAAGAATTAAATTTATTAGACTCATATTCACGGTATATATCACTTCTAATTCTTTTTTATTTTCTAACGAATTGATTTTCACTCAGGGAGATAATTTTTAAATTTTTTAAATGTATCACTTTTATTTTTCATTAAGTAAACATATGTATACTTAGATAAATCATCAATAAAAGTGATAAAATATCTTTTTTCTCTATGAGTTAAAATTCCTCCAAGTTTACAAATATCGGTGTGAACCAATTCTAACAATTTAATTTTTCTTTCAACTTGTGAACGAGGCCTTTTAATTATTTTGGTTTTACTACAATCCTCATACTTTTTAAAATTCTTTTTAATTATTGGAATTAATCCTAAACTACTCATAACTACCACATAATGATTATTAATATGACACAAACAGGCATGCCAAAAATTAGTAGAAGAAAACAGAACTAGAAGAAATTTTACTCATCTCAACATCCAACTTGAACATCCCATCACATGTAGGGGTGGCAAATGGGCTGTTTGGGATGTCTTTGGGCTAGTCATGATGGGCTGGCTCATTAAATGGGTTTTTGCCCAACCCTGCCCAAAGTTCACTTGGGTTAAGATGAGTTGGGTCAAGATAGCTTTAACAATGAGTTTTAACCCAACCTCGCCCAAATTGACCCAAATCTTAGCAATCTTCTCAACTTTTAAACAAGCATATATAAAAATTATCTTATGTTTTGGAATAAATGTCAATTCATGCCAAATGATTTCGTTCCTCAATTTGAATTTAGAATTTTATTTGATAGTTCTTCATCTTATAATAATAATAATAACAAAGATCAGAATAATAAAAAAGTAGCAAAATTAGAACTTTCCACCCACCCCAACCCCAAGCTTACCCCCAAAACCCCCCACCTCCACCCTAAATAAAAATATTATTTAGAGTACTTTATTTTAATGTTATAGATGGAGTTTTTCTTTTTTATTTCAACAAAATCATTTTTTTCTCTTTATGGTAGAAAAAATATTTTCTTTTATTTCAATAAAATAAGTACTTTCTTTTCATGATGTAGAAAAAATATTTTCTTTTTCACAAAAGGAGTACATTCTTTTCATGTTGTAGAAAAAATATTTTCTTTTAATATTGTAGATAGAGTATTTTATTTTTCATTTCAACAAAATGAAAATTTTCTTTCTATGATATAGAGAAACACATTATCACAACAAAAAAAATAATAAAAAAAATTATATCAAAAAAAATAAAGGACGATATTGAGCTATTTTGTAGGTATCACAATAAAATAAAAGAAAGCACTTATTTTGTTGAAATGAAAGAAAATACATTTTCTATATCATGAAAAAAAATATTTGTTGATATGTATGAAAGAAAATATATTTTCTACATCATGAAAATAATGTACTCTAAATAATATTTTCATATATTTAGGGTGGGGNCAAACATTTAAACTACCAAACATGGGAAAATTAGAAAATATTTTTCAGAATATGACTTAAGGTAGAACTTTAAGATTGATCATTTCAATGAGTCAAGGTTGGGCATCATCATGGGTTCATTTGGGCTGATAATTTTTGATGGGTTAACTTCGGCTAGCCCAAAACAGCCCATCTTCAAAACTGTTCCAGCCCAAATCCATTAAAACTTGGGCGGGTCAAATAGGTTTGGGCTAGTTTTGCCACCCCTAATCACATGTATACCCCTTACCCACAAAAATACCCTTTCTCACTATTACACATTGATCACTCTCAATAATTTGTTTGAAGTCTGCCTTATTAAGAAGAAAACTAGACATCAATTTTTTTTTCTCATTGAGGGAGTATAAAGTACGTCTTTCAATGTTAATACTCTTTCTGAAGTAAACTTCAACTCAACCTCTCTCGTTTCAAGCACTTGAGTTGTGTGAGAATCACCAAGCATGATGATTTTAGGTACTCCTCAAATGGAGTATATACTTTAAACCAATCTCTATCATAGCAATTGACTGTTTGCTCTAGAATAAGCCACTCATCCATCAACATTTTCTACCATGTTAATGTTTGTTATTACCGCCACAAGTGGCTCTTTGGTAACATTCGCCTGTGGTGTGGGACAACAATTTTAAAATTTGCAAAATCGAGCAATATGTCCACGCTTGCCACAGACAAAGCATGGTCTCGCAATTTGAATTTGTTGATTTTGTGCTTGGTTGTTTGCACCATTATTCTTATTGGAAGGTCTACCATAACTTTTCTTTAAAAAAATTTCTTCGGCCTCAAAGAAGTAGTTTTGTGAGTTTCAGGAGTAATATTATTTGAGGTAACTAAATTTACCTTTATAGTGACAGGTTGCAGAGTACTCTCTTCCGGTTGCATAAGTGTATCATGGCCTCTTGCCTCTTCTTCCATGCGAATCCGCATTATCAACGTCTCAAGTGAAGTTTTCTTTTGTTTGTGGCGCATAGTTTTTTGAAATTTCTTACATGAAGGTGGACGTTTATCTATTAAACCACAAACCATAAAGTTGTCTCCAATTTTAATATCCTCTAACCTGAGCTCTCCAATGATTATTATAAAGTTTTGAGCTTGGTCTACTATGTACTGATTTGTTATCCACCATTTGGAAACGAAACAATCTGCTAGCAGCATATTTTTTCACGCCTACCTCCTCGGTATCATAGTTATTCTGCAATGCTTTCCAAATTGTCTTTACAGTGGAGTAAAATCTATCATAATAATCATAAAAATTATCAGATAGACAATTAAGAAGAGAATACCGACACTTGTATGAACCATCATTATATTTTTCAATTTTCTCTTGTAGGGCAATTAGCTCATCATCATTCATGGAGGAATTATTCACTTTGCTTGGATTCTTCTCATTTAAAGCGTAAGAAATATTGAGAAGACTCAAATAAAAAAGTACTTTACCCTTCCATCTCTTGAAATGAGTACCGTTGAAATGGAATAACTTGTTGAGATCTCCCATCTTGATATTCGCGAATTTTTCAACTGTAGTCATTTGAATCTCCTTAAAATTGTTGGTGAAAATACAATTACAATTGAGAAATAAAATGAAGAAAATAAAATATTTTCAGGTTGGGGCGCGGATATCTCGTTCTCTTTAAGGAGATTCAAGCCCACTGCAGCAAAGTCTTTACTGGTCCAGCAGTAATTCTCTTTACTTGTCTCCCCATGATACAACAGCCCGATCACGTCGTATGACTCGAACAAACTCTGAACGAGTGTGGAATTTCATTCCATGGAAAAAAATAATTCATTAACCGTCGTATCCTACTTTGTGATATTTTTCATCACCAATTTTCCCTTTTAAAGTGTTGAGTTTTAATAGCTTTATTGAGCAAAATAGCATGGAATTTCATTCGTCCATGGAGATCCCTGAAGATTCAAACATTTTGGTTGTTGATTATATTACTAATTTGGCATTTGATAGTGCAAGTGACGTATAATTCAGTACTGAAGAGGATTAATGCAATCATTATCTAACATTTTGCTCATTTTGCATTTGTTGATTTATAACATTATGGTTGTTGATTATAACATTTTGCATTATCTAACAAACATTATGGTTGTTGATTATATTACTAATTTGGCATTTGTTGATTATATTGCTCATTTTGTTCACTGTTTTCAAACGTTAGAATAATTACGTGGTAACCAATCCAGTTTTAAATTTTGGCTAGCAACAAATTAATCAAAAAATCGATATGACAAAATTTTAATTAAAACTACTGATTGAACAGAACTATATACACAATAATTTGATCGAAAAATTGGTATGCATGATATTAATTTCTGAAATAACCATCGAACGGAACTATTAACGGTATACATATATCATCACATAAACAAAGCCAGAAAAGACTCAGAATCCTCTATGAACGCAAGCTTCTCTCTTGTTCCTTCCAATTGCTCCTTCAACAACAACAGTTCATTCAAGTTTTCACATTCTTGAACGTCAATATTTTCTAACCAATTCCGGAGACCATTCCTCGAGGGCGGCGTTGATCTCGAGCCGCTTATACAAACATCACCAGAACCAGATAATGGATCTATAGAACTAGAAAAGTGTCTGTCAATGGCAGAATAAACATCGCCGTAAGTGTAAGGTTTTCCAGTGGGTGAGAAAACAATAGCAGCAACACGAGCACCAGTCATGGATTCGAGTTCTAAAGCTTTCTTGAAAAGACCTTTGCGTCTCTTGGAGAATGTCACCATTCTTGATGTTTCCTTCATTATTTGCTTGATTTCTATCTTCTTCTTTCCCGTCCCCATCTCCTTTTTCTTCCTCGAGTTTAACTTCTATACACTAACATTGATTTTTTAAAAACAAATAGATAAGAAAATAGGAAAATTTGTCAATTTTGTACATGTACTATCTAAAGTTATCCTCGTTTCGTATTTGCCCTTGTTCACGTTCCGAGATCAAATTTAAAATTTCACTCCCACGGTGTGGATAATATTAGACCAAGAGTCTAACAGACGCAGAGGAGTTGCTCAATTTCGACTAGTATAAGAGGAAATTCAGCTTCAAATAAACAAGGAGAGTAAACCCTTTTCTCTAAAGTAATTATAGATAAATTTGTAATAAGCATAAATCAGTAACCTGATAAGAATAATAACTAACCTTGTCTGTGAAAGTAACTTAAAATACTCCTTTTCTCTTCTCGTCTTCTTCAAGTATGGGAGGTGCTTGACTACTCCAATTTAGAATTCTTGAAGGTCTATTGACTATTGTACATGTATATGTATATGTATATTTATAGAGAGAGATATAAAAAAAAATGCTGTTTGTGTAAGGATTCCTAAAGCTGTAAAAGAAACCGACACATTTTTTACTTGATTTTATTTGATTTTGAATTTAAGAAAGAATCGAGCCAAACCAATTACATATATACACTATTAATTTATAGTCTTTATGACCATAAATATTTTCTTAATTATTTTAATAATCTTCATATTATTAATTAATGCATTACCAATCCACACATGCATAACTTGCTTCTAAAGCAAAGAATCTCTAATTATATAAAATTACTAGATACCCCTGGCTGATAGTGCAAGTAAGGGAAATCCTGGGAAAAGTGCAGCCAAAGCTAAGGAGATCCATGAAAATTCAAACGTTGTAGCTGAGCCAATTGCGATTAAGGAGGCTTTAAGTTATCGTTTCAATCATCGAGTGCTGCCAATTATCATTGAGTCTTAACGAAGATCTTGGATGGAAAATTGCTATTATGGTTGATGATACTCAAGATTAGATTTCGACAAAATTTCCATGTTCCTATTCATCACAATTTGCGGTTGCTTATTATATTATTTCCTCCCGTCCATGACATTTTGGCCTTATTATTTTGGTTCAAAATAAGTTTTTTTTTTTTTTACATTATCAGCTTTTCAAGTTTGCCCCAATTTACATATCCCAACCATTATGCAAATTTTAATTAAGAATAATTTAGTCAAAACACTTATTTTTTTCTAGGAGTTAGTATTTTTTAACAAGTGTACCAAATGCTAAAAAGTCGCCTATTGTGGACACGGGAGTACTAGTTTGGTATTGGACAGTGCCGGAGTTGTTCTAATTCAATGCTTTGATGAGCTGCCATCGAGAGGAAAGTAAATGTAAACCTGCTCATTAGAGTTTTGAAGAGATGGCCAGGTCAAATAATCTTGAATTCTATTATTTGAGATTTATTAATATATTAGCCCCTAGGTATCCTACCTTAAGAAAAACAAATCATCATTTTTGAGTCATGACGCTTTCTCTAAACAGGTAGAATTCGAAGTGCGACTATTCAAATAGCACTGGAACATTCAATTAACCAATTCATATACTGCAACACGTTTGATTTGTAGTCTTTACATTCCGTTTCTATGTATGCCTATGCCATAGAAATAAAAGGTTTAACTAATCAGCTGGTGTTCAGATATAAGAATAAAACTAGTAGTCATACATTCCAATAACATTTTCTTTAGCTAAATCAAAAAAGAAAAATATTTAATAAAGCGGATAAACCATGATTTGCATTCTCTGATACAATCCAGTAAGGAAAAATATCCACAAATTAATTAGTCTGCCTGCACAAAATTCTACCTTATGCACAAAACAGAACACCTCCTTAAAGGATGCAAAGGATATCAAAACATGCATTACACGACTCTTACACGAGGTAAGTAAAGTACCTTTACTGCACTTGCAGATAAAATGAGAATCTGAACGGAAAATAAATTTGAAGTTTTACATATGCCAGGTCGTAGCTAGGCTCCCTCAACCTGCTTGCCTTGGCACAGCACTGACATTTCCATTTTTAATTTTACTGTAAATTGAAAATCTTGTAGACACCATTTTTTTAAAATAAAAGAGAAACAAGAAAAAGTAGATGACTAAATTGGTTATCTGGCAACCAGCCAAGACGGATAATTAGATAGCTGCCATACTTTCAAGGGCACTAAATAAAAAACAAAGTTCAAGAAAAATTGCGAACTGAACACACAAAAGGGATCCAGGAACGAGTTAACGGATGACTAATCAACCTAAATAGTGTAGGTTAACAGCTACTGAAAGTATGTTTTTTTATCGCCATTTACATTTTCACGATCTGGTGTAGAAAAATAGCGATAACAGTAGCAGTCCCTACAAGAAGGAAATCATTGCAACAGAAGCTTCTCTACACCACAAAATCACCATCAGATTTGGATACTTAAGCATCCCAAGTCACCAACATCAATATCTTTTAATTTTAAGAAACTTCACCACGATTGTCATCACATTCGACAGTGAAATTTATCAAGACCCGCACAGAATTTTGACTTCTCATATCTACCCATTCTGCCATTATTATGTCGTCTGAGATGCTAAGGGTACATGGCCTCTAAAAAGACAATTTTTGCATGCATCATATCGAATTCGTTGCAGACAGTGGTTGTGCAACTTCACCAAAGAATGCAAGTAAAAAGAACCAAAAGAACGCATGAGAAGTAAACATCACTGAAGGGCCAGGAGATAAGTGATCATATATGACATCTTCTATCACTATCCATGTATTCAGATCCAATTTTTGCTGTTCTGTTTTATATTAAGGATATACAGATCTAATAGTTACCTTTAAATGAGCAATACTTTTCTGTGAAATTCTTCGTCAATGAAAAAGCTATGTAGTGCCTTCTTCTTTACACCACCGTCTCTTGCAAACAGAATATAAAGATCAAAACATATGTAGCTAAATATACGATATAATCCAAAATACTCAGGTATCCAAATCAATTGCGAGAAAATTGTTTAATCGAAATATGTTACATACACGAGTTTCCTTGGAAACAGTTCCTTAATAGATAAACTGACTACGCCACCCAGCCATGCAAGCAGTTACATGATAAGGTTCCAGCGCCCAGTGATAGTCAACCTGCAACAAAATCTGAGACATGTACAATAGTCAAAGCATTTTTTCCGCGATATACTGTCAAAAGTGCCCTGCTAAAAGAACAACACAAGTGATCGTCAAAACAAGTTTTGCATCTTCCTTTCAACGCATGGCTCTCTAACCTTAACCACATCGACCCTGAGTATTAGACAAAACACCAACAGTTACTGCATGCTATTCAATTATCTTAGCAAAACAAGCCACCAGTCCCCAACTCCCCCTGCTGCAATTCCTTTCTTCGCTGCTCCTCTAGCGGATCTGGACTCTTCACTACTCTTCGCGTACGCCTAAAAGCAGAATAAGGTAGGGATAAGATCACCTTAAGAGATTAACAAATTCTCAAATATTTGATAATAGACAACTTTTTCCTAATCAAGTATGACTGACAATTGAAGTTCACGGGATTAACACCTGTCTTGCGCATGCTGTGCAGGGAAGGTAGGCATGAATTCTTTGGACTTGGGAAGAGGAACTTCACGAAACCACTCATGGTTCAACGCAGCTTCAGCAGTTATCCTCTGCAGTTTGTCACTACAAACAATAAGCTTTTGAGAAGGAAAGATTAGCTTAGAGCAAACTTACAAGTTCACATATGTTTGGTTATCAGTACCTGATCCGGATCATAAGTGAGTAGCTTGTTCAACAGGTCAAAACCAGCATCAGATAGTCCAGGTTCCATGAAGGATGTGGCCGGAAATTCCTTTCTTAGCAAGTTATACCTGAAACGAATAATCATGGGTTAACAGAAACATGGGAATATTTGCTGTCAAACTGAAATCGTAGCCAAGCCGGACAGCCAGACCAGAATCACTCAAAGCTGGAAGCCTGGGAAAACAGTAGCAAAATAAAGACATGAATCTCCAGTTGTCTATTGTAGGGATAAAATACAGAAGAAAATAATACTTACTTATGCTTTACAAAGTTGACTTTCACCCCAGGGAGTTTGGAAAATCCCGGCCATATCGTCTCATTTGGGGTGCCAAGGATTCTGAAAATCTGGAAAGGGAAAAACCCACAAATACATTAATGATGTTAGAAATTACATCGCCGAAGCTGTAAGTAACTCTCCACTAACTACAAAATAAAGCAGCTGGAAGAGAGACCTTGTTAAGTTGATCAACTTCTGATTTCCCATTGAAAAGCGGTTCTTTCCTCAGCAATTCAGCCATGATACAACCCAATGACCACATGTCAATAGCAGTGGAATATTGTTTCGCTCCCAAAAGAAGTTCAGGTGCCCTGTAAGAATATTAATTTTTCAATCCTTGTCACCAAAAGATCAGATAGAGAAAGAATTTAACAGAAATCTTTTTTGGCAACATACACAACTCAACAATAATATGTCCATGTACTTAAAAAAAAATCGAATAAATTAAAATCAAAACAAGTAAAAGCATTGAACTGAAACTCACCTGTACCACAAAGTAACCACCAATTGAGTATACGTTTTCAGGGGGCTCCCATATTGACGAGCCAATCCAAAGTCACAAATCTTCAACTCACCTTGGTTATTTAAAAGTAAATTTGAAGTCTTCAGATCTCGGTGAAGCACCCAGTTATCATGAAGATACTTGACACCCTCCAAAAGCTGGAGCATAAGGCATTTGACTTCACTTTGGGTAAATCGTTGTTTCATTGTCTCCATTAACGCCTTCAGGTCATGCTCCATGTATTCCATCACCATGAAAATGTTGTCAAGTTTGCTCCCTACAACTACTTCTTTAACATCTACAACTGCGGGATGGTAGAAAGAGAGGAGAATGTTTATCTCCCTTAGAGATGTCAAAGGAAACCCTTCTCGTTCCTTTTCCATTTTAACCTTCTTTAGAGCAACAATTTCTCCTGTCTTCTTATCTCTAGCTCTGTAAACAACTCCATATGTACCTTCATCTATCTTGTTAAGCCTCTCGTATTCATCCACGCTTCTACACCCCTGAAGCATGTTTACACTCCTTTGAGGAGGGAACGAAGCTTCTAGTACACCACAAGAATCATGCTCGTGTTCGTATTCTGTATCTGATTGGCTAACACTAGTATCATCATAATTACGGTCCTTATCCACATCCATGGAGTCATTCTTGTCTAAATTATTTTCCTGGTAACTATCTCTACTAGAAGACCTAATATGATCATCAGATTCTGAGGACTGCGCCCTATTTTTCTTGGGGTTCCCAAGTTCAGGGGTCAGTGATTTCCTACGCCCACCTGTTTCAGTCAACCATGACCCTAGTTTCCTACTCTTTAATCGAGGAATTTTATTGTCGTCAACTGGGAAATCATCAACATCAGTCACCCATCGAGACGCTCGTATATGCACATATTCATCATGTTCAAGTATTTTCGCTTCTTGTTCATTGCTCGATCGCACCTCAACAGGAGGCGTCAAAGATATGTGGTCAGGAAATTCAGAAGTAACTTGGTGGGAAACAGGTATAGCCTTCACCCTAAGCTGGGACTGCTCTGTATTATTATTAGTCATAGAATAGTTCTGCACCTTAGCAGCTACCAGTGAAATTGTACTAATATTTGACATTCTATTCACTTTCTTAGCATCTTTATTATCCCAAATAACGGGTGAAAATTTTCTTATTTTGCTCTGTACAGGTAGCTGGTCTCCATTGTCCGAATTGCTGGCCTGGTCATCAGAAACACTCTCGCTGGACGATGATAATTCCCCGGGCTCACGGTCACTTCTACCTGAATTACTCATCATCTCTCTTTCTTTTAAATTCATTCGTCTTAACCTAACCCCGCTATCGCCGTTACGAAATCCATCATAATTTCTCTTTGAGTAACCAACTTCCCTCCTTGAAACCTCAAATTCCAAACCCTGGCCCCTAAATTCGTCGTCTCTATATCCACCATGTCTTCCGGCAGCCATATAAATCCCCAATTCTCCTCTAAAGATAAAACCCTAACCCTTAATTCACCCAAACAAGACCAATACACCGATTCTAGTGGAAACACAACTTATATTCGAGAAAATAAGGGAATTGGAAGGCTTACTAATTGTAGAAACGGATGAAAGGCGGCGACGGTGTCTTCTTCCGAAAGGGAGGGCAACCAAGTTCCGGCCGCATAAAGGGACTTTACAGATTAGCTCCTCCTATGTTTTATACTGTAATTGAGATTGCCTCCAGATTTTTGTCAATTGTTATTTGGTTTTCCGTAATTGAAAGAAACGACCACAATGTTTCATCTATCCTCGTTTTGCTCCCCTGAATTTACAATAATAGAATATCTCCCCCACAAGAAAAAGCTCATGATTCGTTTACACTAAAAGGAACAAATTGTTATAAATTAAAGACTAAAAAGTAAATAAACTGAAAACAAGTATAGAGGGAGATTGATATTTTATTTCAACTTCAAACTGATATACATAATGAACTGAAAACTCATATATTTATAGAAGAAATGAAGCAGTTGCGAGGCTTTTCTTGAGCTGCTTGTAAGATGTCTGCATGAGTTGCTCGCAACCTGCCTGTTTAATAAGAAGTTGATGCAAATCATTTCATTGAGTTGCTTGCAACCTGCCTGCATCAGCTGCTTGTAGATAAACTTCAATATAGTACTTAACGGATAATCTTCTTCAGGAAGATTATCTATAGCGGAATAATAAATGAACATCCACAATATAATATTTTCATAACACTCCCCCTTGGATGTTCATTAAAAGATAATATGCCTCATTAAAACCTTACTAGGAAAAACCTTATGGGAAAACATTCTAGTGAAGGAAAAAGAGTACACATATTTAGTAATACGCATTGCTAGCTGCCTAATTAAAAACCTTATAATGAAACTCTGTGGGGGAAAACTTAGTAAGGAAAAAAGAGTACAACGCGTATTTTACTCCCCCTGATGAAAACTTTGTTTCAAATATTTGAGTCTCTGCATTTCAATCTTGTATATTATCTTCTCAAAAGTTGAAGTTGGTAAAGATTTAGTGAATAAATCTAATGGATTGTCACTTGAACGGATTTGCTGCACATTGATATTACCATTCTTCTAGAGATCATATGTGAAGAATAACTTTGGTAAAGTATGTTTTGTTCTATCTCCTTTTATGAATCCTCTCTTTAATTTAATTGGGCTATGCATGAAATATTGTCTTCGTATAATATTGTGTTTTTTATCACATTCCAACCCACAGTTTTTTCGAATAAAATGAATTATTGATCTCAACCATACGCATTCCGTACTTGCTTCATGAATAGTTATTATCTCAGCATGATTTGAAGAAGTAGCAACAATTGATTGCTTTGTGGAGCACCATGATATAACAGTGCCTCCACATGTAAACACATACCCGGTTTGAGATCAAGTTTTATGGGGATCATATAAATAACATGTATCTTCATAACCAATACGATCTGCACCACCTTTGTTAGCATTAGCAAGATACATAAGTGCACCAACTGCACTGAGATAGAATATTTCAAGACCAAAGAGTTCCTCATCCTCTTCTGGAGGTCGGAACAAATCCTTATTCACTTCAAGTGATCGAACACCCATTGGCCTACTTAATGGGTGCGCTTTGTCCATGTAAAAGCGTTTAAAGACACTTTTTGTATATGCAGATTGATGGATAAAGATCTCGTCTATTAAATATTCAATTTGCAGACCAAGTCAAAATTTTATTTTTCCAAGATCTTTCATCTCAAATTCTTTTTTAAGACATTCAATTGCCTTTTGGAGCTCTTCTGGAGTTCCAACAAGATTTATGTCATCAACATAAACATCAAGTATAACAAATTCTGTTGACATTTTCTTTATAAAAGTACATGGACAAATAACATCTTTTATGTATCCTTGTTTCAGCAAATATTTACTGAAGCGATTATATCACATGCACCCAGATTGATTTAAACCGTACAAAGATCTTTGTAATTTGATCGAGTACATTTCTCGAGACTTTGAATTATATACTTTAAGCATTTTAAATCCTTCAGGGATTTTCATATAAATTTAATCAAATGAGTCATATAGGTTATGACTTGCATTTAAATGGCATGACATCTTTATGTGTCTGGACTACATGCCCGATCCTCACAGTCTTTTACAATATCGTGCACTATATTGTATTAAATACATCGTCGAAGATCATTTTGTATCAGTTCTGTCACTACCCAATTTCTCTTATAGGTCGTGATAACGCCCAACGTCGCCGCCAGGCAAGCTAACAGTGATCTAACCATGTAATTGTTTCTTTTTTAAAAGAATCCAAAGTAGTTGAATTTCATTTATTAAGAAAATAAGGAGTAGAAAATTTAATAAAATAAGACGACAACCAATGTAAGAGCAAATGCAGTGAGATAAATGCTCAAAAACCATAGTCTATGAGCATGTGTTCCAAGATCTGGTGTCACAAGTGTATGACAAACTAGTAGAATATACAAAACACTAAGCTACTGTTTGAAATAGAGTAGACAGAAAAATAAAATACAAAAAAAAGACTTCGGGTGCTGCAGGACGGACTCAGAAAGCAACTTAACACTAAGCCTCGGGTTATCTGGGGTGCGCGCCGGAATGAATGCCAGATGCACCTACCTCAGATGATGCACGATTAGTGCAGAAGTGTAGCGTGAGTACATAAACAACATGTACCCAGTAAGTATCCAGTCTAACCTCGAAGAAGTAGTAACGAGGGGTCGACATCGACACTTACTATGGGCTAACAATGAAATATAGGAATGCTAAATAAGCATATAAAATGTGGATAATAATATTAACACAATAGCAACATTGATTAAATGATTCTTTAGCTAATAGTACATTCCAAAAGTCTTCCACTAACACATACTAATTCTAAGTAAATCTCATGCAATTAAATAATTAGAACCTCTCAATTCATGAAAATAATATTAAGTGTGTTCGGGCTCCAAGCATTTAACACGCACGATTTATGCCGAGGGCGTATGACCCGATCCAGAATAATGTGTACATTGTCGAGGGTCGAGAGGCACAAACCATAGATGCATCTATTGTACTGTTGAGGCGTTCGGCCCGCTCCACAAGAAGAGAGAATACTCTATGAACATCCGATTTAAAAGATATTACAAGCCTAATACACAAGGAAGCACAATTTCTATTAACGGTCAAGTAACCCGCCAAAACTCAAAGTAAGTGAAATTCGGCCTTTACGAATCCTTTATCAAGTTTCAATATAATTTAGGTACTTAAATTAACAAGTAGAGTGCAACAATACAAGTATTTCATGGTTTGGGTCCTAAAACTACCCGGGCTTAAAGCAAAAATAGTAGCTACACATGCACTCTCGTCACCTCGTGCGTGCGTTGCCCCCACAATTAGAAGCAAATAATAATTTTGAATACCTATGGGGTAAATTTCCTCTTGCAAGGTTAGGCAAGAGACTTACCTCATCTCAAAGCTCACTTTCCGGCTATCAAAATCACCCTAAGGCCTCAATTTGGTGTCGAGCAATCCGAAGCTAGCCAAATGTTATATAAATTAATCAATGTACACTCAAAAGTTAATAATTTAGCTATTAGAGTAATTACCCAACCCAAATTGGAAGATTCCTAAAATTCACCCCTGGCCCACATGCCCGGATTCCGTAATTTTTCAAAGATAATTGTTACCCATAACCTCACTGTCACGACCCAAAATCCTAACCTGTCGTGATGGTGCCTATCTGAATACTAGGCAAGCCGAGAACCTCAATAAAACCACAATTTTATTTTAAGTTCGAAAACATAGTATTTAAATACAACACAAAAATCTCACAAATACCGATACAAACACTCCCAAAAACCGGTGTCACTGAGTATATGAGCATCTAAATGATAACAAAGTCTGACTGCTAAAAAAATAATATCTGAAAATATAGAACAGTACAAAAGCTAAAAGGAAAGAGAGCCAAGGTCTACGGACGCCAAGCAGCTACCTCGATAATCTCCAACAGATAAAACTCCGAGAACTAGCAACCGCTATGTCCAGAAGTATCTGGATCTGCACACGAGGTGTAGGGTGTAGTATGAGTACAACCAAGTAAACTGTAAACTGTGACTGAGTAAACTGTGACCGAGTACAAAACAACAATTTAGCTAGGGATGGCAATGGGACGGTGTGGGTTTGAGCGTTAGTAGGGCGGTGCGGGTTTGAGAGTTTGCGGTTGTGGGGCGGGGTGAGTTCAAATTTTAAAATAGAAAAATCATGCGGGACGGGGATTTAATTTTTTGAACTAAATGATCTCCACAACCCAAAATACATTGTCATCAATTCATGTGTCTAGATACAATAAATGATCTGGCTTTTCAAATTGTTAGAAGGGTTTTGAACGTAAACAAAACTAAAAAAAATTATTATATTCTTAATTGTTATGGAGTTTTAAAAATCTTTACTATTTTTTCATCTTTTTGTATTACTCCTTCTTATTTTTGTTTGCCGGTGGAATTCAATTTAAATTCATATGGAAAAAATTTCGTCTTTTATTTTTTGAATCACTTATAATTATTACCATATATAATAGCACTACTTCGTGCTATTTAATTGTTGAAAAAATCTGAAGCCATATATGGCTTGAGAGACAAATAAACAACGACCCTTCTACGTTTGAAATATATGAATGGAAAATTTAGCTTGTAAAAAACGATCTATTTTTCTTGCCACAATCATCTTTTAAAAGGAAAAGAGAGAATTTTATTTTTAAAATATTGCAGGGCGGCACAGGTGAATGCGGGTGGAGTATGGGGCGGGTGAATGTGGGTTTAAATCCTATGCGGGGTGGGTTAAAATTGTGCGGGTTCAGACAGAACCCGCCCCGCCCCGCACCGCCTGTCATTCCTAAATTTAGCAGATAATTCAACATGTACACGACCTTTGTGGGTCCCTACAGTGCCAACACATAATCTAAACATGATTTGTGGTTCAATTTCTCTACTACATGGAGAATGTACAAATAATAACAGATTATTCAACTACACAATTTCATGAAATTTGGCCAATTCACAATTCCTATGGTGCATACCCACACGCCCGTCACTTAGCATGTGCGCCACCTCAAAACCAATCATATAACACATAATCTAGGGCTCCATACCCTCATAACAAAATTTAGAACTGTTACTTACCT